TAGAACACATTTAACATTTGCTCATATAACAAGATCAATATTTATTTTTGAACATTTTCAACTTATAAAATCACTTGATAATGGAAGTTATAAATAGAACTCTATTAGTAATCCACTTTTTATTTTATCCAATAGTTGTTTTGTTATAGTGTATTAATTTCCAGATGTTATAAGACTAATATTAACTTGATTAATAAGATTTTTCGTGCTCGTACTGTAATACATATATTAGTTCGACTTCTGTTACAAAAACAAAACAATTTATGGCATTGACGAGCTGAACAACATCCATAATTGATTTTACTTAAAAGTATCGAATGGAATTCACTATTTAAATATCAACATATTCTAAATCGTTGATTTTTGATGTATTGTATATCTGATATTAAGTCGCTCATATTACATGTATATGTTCGTAATGAATCATTAATATTTTGTCATCTTTGAAAAAACCCAACTTGTTGTTTTTCCACCATATAATTCCGAATAGGTGCACCATTACCTGTTTCAATAGATGGTATCATCCTGTAAGTAAGCATGTTGTTGAATTGTTCACATAAACGACGAGTTACTCACTAACTGGTATTCATATTTTTTTCAGTTGATGAACCTCCACATTAATTAACTACTAAAATATTCTATGCTATTGTTAATGCCTCTTGCGTATCTAGTAGTTCGATAAGTACATTTGAGTATTAAATTGAGAAGATAAATTTTATTGTAGAAACTATTCTTCTATATGCTGCTTTTCGTTATGCATCTGTTTTTTCAAATTTATTTCATCAATAATCTTCAGAATCGCATACTTTAATATACAAACTGACATAACTAACATGAGTTTTATCTTGTAATAATGCTATAACTAGTCATCATATTATATTTATTGATTGACTCTTTAACCTCTCTGGTTTCAATATCACATCATTTTGTTAATAAAAAAACTAAAAAAGAGGTTTTCTTTTGGTAAAAATCTTTGACATTGATTGATCGAAGTATTTACGCTTTTTAGTGAACAAACACAACAATAATTATTTGAAGTTAAAATTAATTTTTTTATATGCACATTATATTGATTTGATGAAATTTTTTTGTTTACTAGAAACCAATTAGCTTTAAGAACAACACAACATTTGGTAATATAAAATGAAGTATCACTCATTAACTTTAAACCTGTACTGTCTATATTTTTCTTCGAAATACGCATTGTAAGTTCCACTGCAGAATAAAATCATCTATTGTAAGAAGAAATTCGATTTTTTAGACAAACACTCATAAAATAATAGTGCAGTTATTATTGAAGAATGCATCACATCTAATAATAACCTTTATCTTATTCTAACCTATTGGGTAGCGAAATATATCAATTCTGTTTAACATATTTTACATAATTGGTTAAATTTATACAAAAATCATTCCATCTAAAAAATAAAAATATTCCGATATTAATAATTGTGTATATGTCATTTGTTCATCGTTAACATGTCTCATAAATTCTTATGATGTAGATGTTGGATCATGATTAAAACAACTTATGAAACGATAATCAGGTTTATTAACCCTTTCCGGTCCATAGCTAAACCAATAAACGAAATTTCTTTGAGACTTTATATTTTATATGGGCATTATGCATTGTTGATATTTTCATCAAAACTCTTTAAAAAATCTTTAAAGTTATTTTTGGTCCATACCCGTACTTCCCCACAGGGATGGCGAAGAAGTATTTTGGACATTCCTGTGGTGGTGTACGGGCATGAGTCGAAATTCGATTGAGAGCTGTCGCGAAATCAATCTTTGGAATACCACTAGAAGCCCCTCCTAACTTGATTTAAGCACGAAAAATCGAAGTATTTCACGAACCGCAGAAGGGCATTATCCGCCCTCCTTTTTTTTGGAGTAAAAGTAGTGTTCCAAAGATCCACCAGGCTTACTACCAGAGTAATCTCATTAGGGCGATAACTCTTGCGTAGATGTATGCATCGAAGTCTCTTTTATGTCACAAAGAAAACCGCAGTTCGATATCATCTCGCGTTCGCGAGTTATTCAAAGATTAAGAAACTTGGAAAAACCATACTATATTTAGTAGGGTGGGCCTGAACGGGTTAAACCATGTTGGAAATAATTGTTCCATTGTATCAATTGTTTTCGTATGTCGTCCGACAAGTTTAGGTATTTTATCCATATTATAATGGTCTAGTTCAGCAATATATTGTGCTAAATTAATACTTCTTAAATAAATATTTGTTACTGCTACTTCATTGAATTTATTTGGTGGACTTAGAATGAATTTTGAGAATAACGAGATGAAATAGATAATTGAGAAAATACGTCTTTTTTCTGTTATGGATAGTAGAGTTGATACAATTCAATGTTGTTGTTGATAAATAGATAATGATGAGTTAGGACTTAGTAGTGTATGTGAAGCATGATATTTTAATCGAGTTAGAACTGTATATTCCATTTGAAGAAATACTTCAAGATATATGTTGTTTGAATGGAGAAGATTTACTGGTTGTTAATTGATAAGAACAGCAAGGTAAACGACATGGTATTGATATAATTTGTTTTTCAGATGTGAATGAATCAGATCATATACTCACACTATACTAAAAGTTGTGGCAACGGTACTATACTACATTACAGAAGACTCGAGAAGGTTTCTATAGATATATATACTGATAGTACAAATGATGCCCTTTAATTCTAAAATATTTCGCCATTTTTCATTTGCTATGATGTTAAAATTTCGATCATAACAGTTCAAATCCGATTCTGTTGCATAAGAAAAACTTTCGCTTCTGAATTTAAGGCGGCACCACACTATTTTATTTTCGGCTGCCAGCCTCCACCTCGATCCGAGAAAATTCAAGAGACCCCTTTGCCAACACATCTAGTAGATCGTTGTTTGTCTTCAACGTCTTTTCGATCTTTACGAGACTATTCATGTCATCTTTCAACTGTCCTTAAAAGTGGAGTCCGACCTCCGAGAACAAAATATAGTTTGTTATGAATAATTGTCGCTTGACTATATAGTAGTTCAACTTTGATCGAAATTCTTATATTACAACAGTACATGAAGAATGATGAAGTAATTACAATTATAGAGTCATGTTAGTACTATTGGTATGCACAGTAGGTATCAAAATTATTTAATTAGTAGGCAATTTTATCCTAGAATCACCTGATTTTCGTCAGTTTACAGTCTATAGTTTTTAGTGGTGATCGAATCACAGCACACGCTTTTTCATTCTTTCAAAAGTATCCAACTACTCATTTTGCAAACCATTGCGTAGCTATTCTACATTGAAATTTTTGTTATAACATATGACTCAATTAAACAAGTTGTGATCTGCGTCATTCCTATAATATTTATTTAAAGTTACTATTCAATATATCATTAACAAGAGGAGTACAAATTGCATCAGATATTTTATTTGAATCGAAACTTCATGTTGAAAAATTGCTTTATTTGTCTCCAATTTTTACACCCACCAATGATAGATGTTCTTATACTGCCTTATTCACGCATTGAAGAAGGTAAAAGTTGTTTTAACAGTTTGGTTTTGTAGTAAATCTCTTATATTTGAAATCAAAACAAATTATGTTACCTAATTATATACCTTTGCATATTAAGTTTGGTTTGATACATTCTTGTTTAGTAAGATATGTATCTATTCTGTTGCTGGGACTACTATAAGCCTTTTTTAATCTTACTATTTAGAGTGTAACAAAGGTAAAGAGCTTAAGAGATATATTCGGTTTTGACTTCAGATATAAGAGTTTCGTACAGAAAAGATTCCCTAGGAATCTATTATCTTTTTTGACAATGGAATAAACCAGTAAGGAAACATCTATTTGCATAGTTTCTGAATCTTCGTTCTCGAGATCATCGTCGCAGAAAGTGCTAACTTTCGATGCGTATGTCTGTTTAAGTAAACGAGGCGCGAAGCGATCTCAATTTTCTTCGATGAAGTTTCTATTAATATAAGTAAGCAACAACGATGATGAAGACCAAATCGTCAAAATTACCGTTTTACGAAACTGGCCGACGATTGAAAAATCTTTGTATCATTTCTAGACATGACTCTCTCTAACATAATTCGAGTGAATTTCTCTAGACTCGTCACTCTCTAGAACATCGCGAAACAAAGTACGGATTTTCTTACCGTACAGAAAGAAATGATATCTAGTAAGTACTTTGCACTGTAATAAATCACATGTAGCTTGATGTTTTTATCAAAGTATGTTTTATTTTTTCTCTTTCTCAGAAATATCTAAAATACTTAGTGCATATTGATAAAATAAAAATAGCATCACGTTCTCTTCTCTTTTAATAGAATGTTTTTATCAAAAAGGAATATACTCAGTTACACCATTGACCAACAAAATAACTGATTTGTATTTGTAAAATAAAAGAGCTATGTTTAATTTTTTTCTAATAGAGTACACCTATAATTGTGTTGACGATAGTTTTCATTGTTGTTATTAAAATAAAATATATATTTGAGTACAATTAAAGTCTCTAATGAATGTAGAACTATCAAGTATTGTGAAGGATATTTTTTACAAATAAAAACTCAAACAACAGTTACTTGCGTCAACACCTTGTAACGCAATTCTTTATGGAATTAAAGTATAAAACACGATATAGCTGCTATTTTTAATCACAAGAGATTGTTTATTGATATACAGTCTTAAATATATTTTATCTATATAATACCATGAATAACTTCTTCATGACCCTAAAAAAGTTGAAAGACCTATTGCACAAATAGTAGCGTAAAAATTAGGATGTTACCGAGAAAATTCATATCTAATAAAATTTAACTGTTTGACAGATAAATCAAGTACATTTTCTGAATCTTCAAGCCGAGCTCTATACAATGGTTAAAAGTATTGTTTTAATCTACTTTTGAAAAAAAAACCTATTTTTTTCTATATTGCCATGCGAACGGTTAATAGCGTAAAACGAACAATGTATTCATATTCGACCTCCACAATTCTCCTATCCACTGTGTCTAGTTCCTGTTAATGCAAACATTCCTAGGCTGTCTAGTAGATTTTCAAAAAACATAGATTTTTCAGTTTTTTCTGACTTTCGAAAAATATTTTATCCGCAACAATAGTCTATTCGGAATTAGCATATGAAACTGCGTCGTTGAAGAAGAAAATTTTCTTGAACAAAATGAGGGCAACAATCCTCTCAGGCATTTATCGTTGGAAAGGTTTTTTGCGCCATGCCCAATCATTTCTGGGCGAAGAAATCTGTTTCCGTGCAAAAAAAATGCACATTGTAAGAAGGAGAAGATCCAAATCTCTACCCTATATTATACACCAGCACTTCATTTAGATCTAATTTCACAACTGTCTTGCTTCTCCAGTTAATCATAGTATTCCGAATATCGCTGTGGTTCTGCTCGTTCATTGATTGAGGACTAAGATCTAATGATCAAGATATTTTCGATTTCATTATTGGTGAGAAATATGGAAAGAAACCCATTAAAAATAAAAAAGAATATTATTGAGTAGACAATTGAAAATAATTTATTGAACACGTACATATCGTCGTTTTTCATCGAATTTTAAAATCAATGTTACATAGGTTTCGCTTTTATCTAAGATTTTTGTTCATATTAAACACATCTAGAAAAGAAAAATAAATTTTCAGTAAAAAAAAACAAGTAGTATACTGAACCAAAAAGCACTTGATTTCAAGAATAAATAAATCTTATCAAATAACGAAAAGAGAATCTTTTCTCGATTAACAATAAATAGGATATATCATTATGATAATTTCATGATTATTTTAAAAAAACAAGAGTATTCAGCTTATCATTTTGTGCTGAATACACGAAAATTTGCTTTTTGTATTGGACATGTAATGCGATTTAAACATGGATGAACTTGTTGAATAGTTGCCAAACTCGTCGCCGAATCGATTGGACACTCTGTTATAAAACAATCAAATCGTCGTAAATGACTAAGACTATTTGAAAGAAATTGAACTAGAGAAATAAATGAAACATTACAATAGAAGTTCATGTTGATCTTGCTTGTATTTGGAATATAACTAATGAGAGTTCTGATATCTTGAACCGACACCAAACAACAATAATCTTGTAAGATTAATTGTTGAAGAGGATGGTTATTAATCATTACTGATGAATCCATGATTTTGTCACTATGACGCAAAAAATCGACATGAAGTTGTTTAAGATTTGGGCATGCCGCTAGAACAAATGGGATCATAGTTGTATTATAACAACCAATATGAAGATAGCGAAGAGACAATGATTGAAACCAGTGAGCAAGATCGAAAGAATCAATATAACCTAATCTAGCACAACGAAGCTGAGAAAAACGATTTGAAAATGCATCATCAATAAGTTGTTTAGGTGGAAAGAAATTTACATTTGAATATAACGAAAGATAGATTAAATTTGGCATGATCTCAGCTCGAATTTGTTTTAATTGTATTGGAGACGGTCGAGCCAATGTTAATGAATATAAATTACAAAATCCATTCAAATCAATTTCATCCCATGTGTTAACTTGTAAAAGACCAATATGAGGAGCTAGTTTAGTAATTAATTCACTGTTTTCTTCTTCGTTAATAATAAGTTGAAGCGAGTTGACTGAAATGATAAGATTGTTTAAACGCGAATTAATATTCCAAAAAGTATAATATAAATGTCGAGGATTTATATAATTGAAGATTTCGAGCAATAGTTCATTGCAAAGATGTTCAAAACAAGTGGTCATATCTGCAACAAAATAACAATTGAATGTTGCAAAATAAGCTCTTTTGCAATTGTTCATAATAAAACTGCATTTTTCCGCTAAAAAAAACATGTTTTTCAGAATTCCGACGATATCATTTTCAAACAATCTCAATAATTGTATAAGCGTCAAGTGTATTATATATCTCTACATTGGATGAAATTATGTATTTCTGACGAACTTTCTATGTCAATGCAAACGTTAGCCAAATCATATACGGCAGCAACCAACTATTTCCCAGGTAAAACAAGCACGGTCGTTTACAGGTGTATATAAGAACCAGAAAATATCTCTGTTACAACACAATGCACGTAGACAAATTAGTTTGAGATTGATGACGAGAACTATTCGAATAATTGAATAACAATCGATACAGCATTAAAATATAAAACATTTTAGCCGATAATTGGACTGAGAAGTATTAATTCTCAATGAATTAAAAAAAATTTTGACAAGAAAAACAGCGACTAACCAATATTCATTCATTTTAATCAAACACCAATTTTTCAACGAAAAAACTGCTTTCATTTTTATTTTCGTTGCAACTTGATGTTCTTCCTTAATAAATATGACTCATTATTAGAGATATTCAGATTCGTGAATTACATTTTACCGTTCATACGCATGTGAATAATGATCTTTAACTTATTTTTTCAATAGAGTGTTATGTTACATGAGAACAATCAGTTTAGTTGAACAACAAATATAATTATATAGTAAAAGAGATTTAGTTCAATACAGTATCTTTAGCCAGATGTCACTATATAATAAGTCATCAAAGTGATTTTATTCTCTACAGCTAAATTCGTCATATATTTTCTCTAAAAGACAGAAAATTGTGCAAGAATTTTTCAAATCTATTGCGTTAATTTCTATCCAATGATCAAAATCTATATTAAGTATACTTAGGGTAGACCAAAAGTAGTGACAGCGACACTATAAAATCTTTAATAATTCTTTAAGCGATATAATAATAGTGAAGTTTCGATATGTTAAAGTTCGCTGTTAATTTTTTTTAAATATTTTTTCTTGAGAATATAGGACAATTAACTATACGTATGCAAAAAATAAGCAAGATCTGTCTTTACACGTATGAAGATGGCTAACTATCAGATGCGACAGAAAAAGACATACGTATATCGAGAGAATCGTTTCAAATAATAAATCGTTTTCGACTCCAATCTCTATGCATAACGTAGACCCTAGTGAAATATAAAAAAATAGTTAAAGGAGAAGTGCCCCTTTAGGCCTTTCCTTCTAAGCTACAACCATTTTACTGAAATTGGAGGCTATAACACAATACACATAAATGACTCAAGTAACTATATTTCAACCTGAGATTCAACTCATAAATAAACCTATTTATGACTAGGAAATCCTTTATTCTCAAGAAAAAAACGTTTTGAAAAATTAGCTGCGAACTTTAATACATTGAAACTTTACTATTATAATATAGCCTGAAGAATGATTAAATTTTGTAGAATTATAGAACATGATATGAACTCTCAGTAGATGTAGAAAGAAAATTTTCTTGAGTCTTCTTTAATATATTTTATAATGTCAGCATCACTACTTTTGGTATGTCCTAAGTACAGATTTAAAATTGTCATGTTTTTTGCTCGACTATTTATTTTTCTTTTACTATTTCGAAGGTAAAGCAAAAGTAACCTAAATCATGACTACCTTTTACTATTTTTCATCTCCTCGAATATGATGCAATGAAGTGTGTCATGAGTAATATACAAATAGGGAACGTGCACTTTCTGATCGTCGTTTTACTACTTGTTCTTGCCTACATCAAATATAATTTTGATCTAAATAAATGATATTGTTAGACTTTCCTAATGTTATTATCAACATATTCAAAGTTCAATTTTATACTCATACAAAGACAACATACTGCTCACTCATGTACAGACGTTGTGACACAGATATGACAGTGCTATTTTTGTACTGAAAAGCGGCTTACAATTGAAGGAGGTTAGTTTAAAAAAAATATTTTTCAAAAAAAACTAGTTTGTCAATATTCAGATTCCACTTTTTGAAAAAGTTGCACTAAGCTCTTTCGACAAAGATGTTCCTCAAAAGAAACAAACAAAATATGGTAGATATATAAGCAAGACATAATGAAGATGGTGCTTCTAACAGAACGACGATAAAGCATTTGTCGACACTCGAGGAAAATACGAGGCGTAAAAAGTCAGATATGATTAAATACAAAATAAACTCATAGGAGATCATCAGGGTAGTAAAATTAAGCTAAGATTCTTTAGAATGTTTGATTCGTAGTGTGAGTTGTATTTTGCTTCATTAAATATTTTTCCTTAGTATTTTCAACTTAACATCGTTGCTCATGCGTAGGTGTTGGAAAAATAAAATACTATTTTTGTGTACTTAAAAAGTGAGTACACTCTAGAATCGGTAAGTGTGTCCGTCCGTCCGTCCGTTAACACGATAACTTTTGGAAGGAGAGTCCAATTGCGATGAAATTTTCTACACAGTTCAGTCTTAACAATGTCTCGGTCGAGTTCGAAGATGAGAAGAATTGGCTGAACCATTCCTGAGTTATTGCAAAAATACTCATTTCTTCCTATGCGAAAATCGACCCATCCTCGCTTTCGTAAAAAACTTTTCCTATCATATTTAAACAAAACCCCAGCTATTATATACCATTCGATAGAGGATTTTACGAGCTACAAAATGGTATATAAAACATAAAGAAACAAGAAGGCTAGCTCACCTATTGCAAAGATAAATAAACGGAAATCGGTTCTGTTCTTGTCCACGCTCTAACTGATCCACAATTAGAGCACTATCTTCCAATAAGAGATGATGCTTGAAGGTCTTCTGGGGTGGAGAACTCGAATCTGTACTCCACT